GCCCGCTTCGTGTAACGAGTTTGATGGTTCAATTTTTGACGGGCTTATTCGGAGCCGAGAGGTTCCTCAAGCCTAAGTGTGGCGCGAAAAAAATAGCCTCAGCTTTCTGCGCGTGTGATGTGCCGTATTTCTGTGCTCTTCCTCTTCGAGACATTTGCTCAAAATTCCATTTTCATATTGCTGCGTTGACACACACTCGTCACTAAACGCAATGTGGATGGTAGATATGTCCAGGAGCTAAATGACATTGTCGAGGTCTGCTGCTAGCCACGCGAAGGATTTTGGAGCGGTTTGTCGCCGAGGCACGGAAGGAGGAACGCCAGCATTCGAGAAGAAATACTAAATTACAATACATTCCTGCGGAGGGAGTTGGTAGGAACGTTGGGTTGCTCGGTCAATGGCCAGGGTCAACGGCCAGGGCGTGGTGTATTCCGCAAATATGGCCGACTGTGAGGGCGGGCACAAGCCGGCGTGAGTAGGTTAAACATTGAGTTTTATAAGGGCACCACGGGGTGACCAGCCCCTCCCCACCCAGCCCCTCCCCACCCTCCCCACCCAGCCCCTCCCCACCCTCCCCACCCAACCCCTCCCCACCCAGCCCCTCCCCACCCTTCCCTCTCCACCCAGCCCCACCCCTCCCATTTTTGGATGCACGACGGACGGACACACACAATAATCCCCTGTGGGCTGGTGTAACCAGGGGGTCTCTACCAGTAAAAAATAACTTTCACTATTCAGAAAAGCAAGTGCCATTTGGGCATGACACATCCTTTAAGCGGTGAGATTGACCAACAACATGGGTCATTGGGATGCGATTTATTGCAGGAGAACGAAAAAACTAAAACAATTTGAATGCGTTTCATTCATAAAACAAAAGTCGAAGTCGACCGCGGCAGGATTCGAACCTGCAATCTTCTGATCCGAAGTCAGACGCCTTATCCATTAGGCCACGCGGCCTCCGTGCTTTGAACTGCATCATCCTACGAATGAGTCTTTAGACTCGCCTGAGGCATTGCTTGTTCAATACCGGTCATTGTTTAGCTATTCCAATGCACCGCACACAGTACTCAGGATTGAGCTTGGCTAATCGTTTTTTGGATGGGTGACCGCTCTATTTGTCTACAGCGATTATCACGGACAGAAACCTGTAGTTTAGACGCATTATTATTTGTGACATGGAGAGAATTGACACTGGTCCCCTGGCTACCTATCGTGTTTTTACACGCTTCAATTTAACTCACTGTCTGTTGTTGTCGTATGCTCAAATCTTGTAACTCAATTTCAACCCACTTCCCAATTTGTTATCGACTGCAAGCTTGGTATACTCATGTCATACTGATGACAATACTATATTCTATCATAAAAAAAGTATTTTTAAGAATGCATTTATGTACGTTATGTTTCGGCTTGGGTCTAATTGTCAACGCTCAACTGACGTTGGCTGTAAATCACCACGGCCCCTTACGTTATGGCAAGCTTCGGGGCCACTTTCTGGAGTTCTGCCATTACGAGTAGGGTACATTTCATTAAAGCGTGTTTAAAAAAAAGTATTTGTTAATATTACTTATTTGTATTGTAACGTCCTGACGTTGTCCCCTAGTGGAGATCTATGAAAAATATATTTAAATCTCATCGGATTCCTCGAGTATAAATAAATGTTGTGATTCTGAAAAAAAAAACTGATTCTGTTACTTTGACGGTTAAGTGAGTGCGAACAAAAATCCGTCATCTTTTGTTTCATCTCCACGATCCTCACCCAGTAATTCCCAATTGGAGATTCATAAGTGTAACACGTGGGCTTTCGCGACCAATATTATTCAAAATAAGGTTGTTTTTTGGGGGTTAGACCGCGAGCTTAGGGCAAGCCAATAAAGATGATCGCCGCTCTGTTGCCCGTTTGAACTGTCATACACAATGACTTCGATCATCCAGCTTATCAAGTGGGGCCGCGTGGCCTAATGGATAAGGCGTCTGACTTCGGATCAGAAGATTGCAGGTTCGAATCCTGCCGTCGTCGAAGTTTTTTAAAATGTTTTCTTTACTATTTTTATTTTACCAGCTCAGGCCCACTGAGCTATGATGCTCTTTTTCAGAAGCGACCTGACCACAAATGAAATCTCATCGAAGTGGCTTATCACGTGCACATTTATAGCAGCCACATGCTCTAAACGCGTGTTTCTAAATTTGGAGGGAAAAACGGGAGGACCCGGATAAAAATCCACGCAATCACGGGGATAACATTCAGACTCAGCAGGCGTCTGGGTCGGGATCGAATCCACAAACTCCTGTATACCAGGCGAGGTAATTAACATCTCATCAACCGACGAGATTTGTTTTTTTAACTACGTAAGTTCGGCTTTTTAAATGCAAATTAAGGAAAGCTTTATATTCTTGGGGTCTTTCGGTAAAGTCATGTAAATAGGCTCAAAGAAAATAACCAAAACCTACGTTTCGATCCCAACACAAGCGTTCGTCATCTTCCTGATGACGAACGACCTATCTACGTGACTTTACCGAAAGACCCCAAACAATATGAATTCCTGCAGCCACGAAAGCTTTAAGTCAACGAAAGGTTTGTCCAAAATCGCGCCGGCTGGATCATTGCATACTATTAGGTTATTTCGGTAAAGTCACGTAGGTAAAAAAAAATAGTAATAAATGAAACTCAATTAAATAATAATAAATGAAACTCAATTAAATCACGACGTTTCGGAGGCAACACAAGTCTCCGTCTTCAGGTGGAACCATCACAGCACAATTTGTGACGGGCCACTGGCGTCCCCTAGTGGCCTTTGATGGGGCCACTTACGTGCAGCCCCTGACAATACACAACTTGTGGCACACACCCCCGCCATCCATAATAGAGGTTTTTGTTGGGTTAGATCGCGTAAATACATAAATGTGTCGTTTAACCCGCCACCACCCGACACAGCCAACTAGTAAGGGCTGTCACGTAAACAGAACGTGCCAATTCATAACAAAATAATATATTAATATATTTTAGTAGGGAAAAGTTGAGATATTTTATTATTTATTTATTGTTTCAACTAATAAAAATAAAACAGAATAAAATAATATATAAATATGTTTTTGTATGTTTACATTTTATTATTTCCCTTCTACGTGACTTTATAAAAGAATATAAAAATATATTTAATTATTTTTCTTTTTATTACTTTATTATTTCCATTCTACGTGACTTTACCGAAAGAACCAAGAAAACGGAGTGCTTTGTTTGAAACCCTTTCAGATGGTCTCCTCCAGAGAGGACCCTTTCCTGTGCGTAGTGTCACAAATCATATCACGCTCACAAATTTTATACCAAAAAATTAAAATTTTATTTACCAACAGAACAAAACTGTACATTTAAAAAAAATAACCGATAAAAAACATGATAGAAAATACTTTACATAAAATAACATTACAATTGTATCGATAATAAACAAGCAGATGTTTTGTACAGATTTGTTTTTAAAGATAAAACTATTTGTTGAATCAGAATCAGAATGTTCATTTAGACTGGAGGGATCCAATGAGCATTGAAGCTCTGTTTTTGCACAGTTGTCCAGCAAGCTACAATTTCACATTTCAGTATGCTTGACCAGGCAAGAGACCGTTGAGACCCATCATCTCTTGTTCACTGACAGCCTTTATTGAACCAGGTGAACGTTCAATTGAGATGCATTGGTCTCTTGCGTTTGACGTCCTGATTCCGACCAGACCAGAGGCCATAACTATTCGTCTTTGCTGCTCCACGTCCTTTGTTACTGGTAGGAACCTTCTGGTTACACCAGCCCACAGGGGATTATTGTGTCCGTCGTGCAGGGAAGGGCTGGGTGGGGAGGGAGAGGCTGGGTGGGGAGGGTGGGGAGGGGCTGGGTGGGGAGGGGCTGGGTGGGGAGGGTGGAGAGGGGCTGGGTGGGGAGGGTGGGGTCGGGCCGGGTGGGGAGGGGCTGGTCACCCCGTGGTGCCCTTATAAAACTCAACGTTTTACCTACTCACGCCGGCTTGTGCCCGCCCTCACAGTCGGGCATATTTGCGGAATACACCACGCCGCCGTTGACTCTGGCCATTGACCGAGCAACCCAACGTTACTACTAGCTCCCTCCGCAGGAATGTAACCAGGCATGAGCTCGAGATTTGAAGCTTTCGTGACTGCAAGGATTCATACTCTTAGGTTTTTTTTCGGTAAAGTCACGTAGGTAAAAAATAAAATTTAAATTAATACAATTAATAAAATTAATAAAAGTAAAATAAAAATCACTTCTATTAATTTTAATTTTATTTTTTACCTACGTGACTTACCGGAAAAAAACCCGAAGAGTTGGCATGAGCTCGCCAATATTATCTTGTCGGCCTTTATTTCACCATGCGAAAGTCTAATGCGAATCATGATCTCCTTGTAATTTGCATCCCTTTATTATTTAAACCAGACAAGGACCCGTCACGATGCGTTAACCTCCTGCGATTGACTCCCTTTATTCACTAAGGCGGGTGAGAGCTCGTTGCGATTCATAATTAATTTTAGTTCACGTCCTTTAACTGAACACCGTCTACGCCGGTTGTCAGAGGCGGTTGCGTGGGCAACTCTGTGTTGTGGGCAGCAGAGGGCGGTGCAGCAAAACCGTTGTTGTGATAACGTCTTGACTGAAAGCTTTCGTGACTGCAGGAATTCATATTGTTTGGGTATTTCGGTAAAGTCATGTAGATAGGTTAAAATAAAATATTATTAAATAATAATAAAATAATAACAACAAATAATAATATTATATTATTATTTAATAATAATATTTTTTTGTCATTTTCTTTGAACCTATCTACGTGACTTTACCGAAAGACCCAAATAATGCGTTGTTGTAATGTACTGTATTTGAATGGGGCCACGTCTATTTCCCCCCCACCCCGCCTTCGCTAACCTGCACTGACAAGCGAGGTCAAATACCCCCCCCCCCCCCCCCACCGTGACCCACGTGGTGGGGGAAGGCCCTCATCCAGCATGGCGAGGCTGTGCGTGGTAGAACACGAGCATCGGCTCAACATTGACCCTGACCACAATCTTGACCGTGATCTTGACCCCTCTGACATCATCGTGACCTTCAATCAGACCTTGACCCTGATTGGCGACGCACCTACACGCTGACTCTGACTCAGCCATGACCTTGACCCCTCAAATCTCCACCAATCCCCACCAACCAAAACCAGTCACGGCATTGACCCGACCCCTCCCGACCTTGAGAGAGCCGAGACATCGGCCCGAACCTCGACTCTTTGACGGCAAAACCCTGACCCCAAAACCCTTTAGCCCGACCTCGACCCAGCCGCACGAGCCTGGCCCTGACCCCGCGTGCCTCGGGGTGCCCGCGCCGCCCTCAGGGCGGGGGCGATTATGCGGATGAGCCGAGTCTGCAGGGAGTCTCCCTCGGGGCCCAGCGCCGTCGAGAAGAGGAGGGCCTCCCCGTTCACCAGGGCCCGGACCCGTGCAATCCTCGTGCGCGACTCCAGCCACACCTAGAGCGGAGGGGGGGGGTACGATGGGATGGGGGGCGGAGGAAATGGGGGGGGGGGGGTGTTGACAAGTGGTGGCGTTGGAGGAGGGGGTGGTTTTATGAATGTAATTATTGATGCGTTCACATGCAGATCATTCAATTTCGAGTGCCTCGACACGGAGGCGTTGGGTCTCTGTGTCTGTGTTGTCTCTCTCTCTGTGTCTCTGTGTTGTCTCCCTCTACTTGTGCGTCTGTCTGTGTGTCTCCGTTGTCTGTGTTTTGTCTCTCTCTCAAATTTAGCAATCTTTGGAAGAACGTAATCAACCAGCTAAGGTGCTGACTGTTGTGTTAGCCGACTCCCTGTGTTGTATTGCATTGCATGTCTAAGTTCACTAGGTTTCATCTTCTTGGTTCTTTCGGTAAAGTCACGTAGAATGGAAATAATAAAATAATAAAAATAATAAAACACGAAAGCTTTAAATCGAAATAAAATTCACTAGGTTTGTTTTCTACCTGATGACGATTGCTTGTGTTCTAAAAACACAGATTCTGTTTCTAGCAATCCGCGGGGTTCGTGTGGGGGCCGGTGGGGCGGGCGAGGGCCTCACGTGCGTGAACTCCATGAGCAGCTTCTCCTCGGGGACCCTGAGGACCCATCTCCAGGAGTCGGTCTCCCGAGAGAGGGCTTCCTCGGCCGCTCGGAGCCCGGGACAGGAGGACGCAGGCGGCAGGAACGGCGGACCCGGGGCCAGCCGGAGGGCTTCATCCACCTGCTGTTGCTCGTGGTGGGATTGATGCACCTGTTGCATTTGATTCGTTTGTTGGGTGTCATTTAGATCCTGGCTGGATCTATTCAGCTGTTGGTAGGGTCGATTCGGTTGTTGGGTTTCACTTAGAAGGTGTCGGGATTGATCGAGCAGTTGGGACCGATTACTTATGTGAGATTGATCCAGTTGCCGATGTGTTTCATTGAGCTGATGCTGGGATTGATTCAACCGTTTAGTGTGATCCAGCTGCTGGTGATATCCATTCAGCTCCGCGTGGGATTGAGTCACTTGTTCGGTTCGATCTAACTCCGGGTGGGATAGGTACCCCTCGCGATGGGACTGATTTAGCTGCTGATTGAGTTGTTCACTTTGATGTAGATCCTCATGGGATGGATCCGATAGATTTTGACTCGGCACCTGCTGAGTTTGATGCGGTTGAGGTTGGGTTAGATCCGGTTGTTGTAAATAATCTGGCTGATGCTGCTGCTGGAACTGATGCTGTTGTAGATGCAGTTCAGTTTGATTCAGTTGCTCGGACAGATCCAGTCCCTGGCTTTGGTTCTGTCTTTGCTTGGTTTGATCCAGCTGCTCGTGAGATTGATCATTTATCCACTGATGAGATTGATACAGCTGGGATTTATTGAGCGGAATAAGACCATTGAGAGTTGTGCTTTCGTTCAGCGGCTGCTGTGTCTGATTGAGGTCTTCTGTTTGATTCAAATGCTGCCATTGCACTTGATATGTATCCTGGGATGGATTCACTTGAAGGGTTTGATTCTGCTGCGCTTGAACCTGATTCAGTTCGTCCTGGGTTTGATTGTGCTGCAGTTGAACCTGATTCAATTCTTCATGGGTTTGATTCTGCTGCACTTGAACCTGATTCAGTTCTTCCCGGGTTTGATTTTGCTGCACTTGAACCTGATTCAGTTCTTCCTGGGTTTGATTCTGCTGCAGTTGAATCTGATTCAGTTCGTCCTGGGTTTGAATCTGCTGCAGTTGAATCTGATTCAGTTCGTCCTGGGTTTGATTTTGCTGCAGTTGAATCTGATTCAGTTCATCCTGGGTTTGATTTTGCTGCAGTTGAATCTGATTTAGTTCGTCCTGGGTTTGATTCTGCTGCAGTTGAATCTGATTCAGTTCTTCCTGGGTTTGATTCTGCTGCAGTTGAATCTGATTCAGTTCTTCCTGGGTTTGATTTTGCTGCAGTTGAATCTGATTCAGTTCGTCCTGGGTTTGATTTTGCTGTAGTTGAATCTGATTCAGTTCGTCCTGGGTTTGATTTTGCTGCAGTTGAACCTGATTCATTTTTTCCTGGGTTTGATCCTGCTGCAGTTGAATCTGATTCAGTTCGTCCTGGGTTTGATTCTGCTGCAGTTGAATCTGATTAAGTTCGTCCTGGGTTTGATTCTGCTGCAGTTGAATCTGATTCAGTTCGTCCTGAGTTTGATTCTGCTGCAGTTGAATCTGATTCAGTTCGTCCTGGGTTTGATTCTGCTGCAGTTGAATCTGATTCAGTTCGTCCTGAGTTTGATTCTGCTGCAGTTGAATCTGATTCAGTTCGTCCTGGGTTTGATCCTGCTGCAGTTGAATCTGATTCAGTTCGTCATGAGTTTGATTCTGCTGCAGTTGAATCTGATTCAGTTGATGTCGTTGCTCGGTTAGATTCGGCTGCTTCTGGCTCTGATTCGTTTGCTGCTTCTGCCGAGTTTGATTCATTTGCTGCTGAAGCAGACTCGTTTGGTGCTGCTGCTGCTGCTGCAGTTGTTGCAGCTGATGTTGCAGTTGATGCTGCGCCTGTTGTTGATGTCGTGGTTGCTGTTGTTGTTGCTGCTCTAGCTGTAGGTGCTGCATGTGAATGAGGTCTGGTTGCTGTCGCCCTAGCATATGTTGTCTCCGATTCAGCGGTTCCAGAAGTTCAGTCACTTTAAATACCCGACGTCGCTGCTGTTCCTGCTGCTGCTGTTCTGGCTGCTGTGGCTGCTGTTGCTGTTCCGGTTGCTGTTCCAGTTGCTGCTGCTGTTCTTGCTGCTGTTGTTGTTCCTGCTGCTGCCGCTGCTCTTGCTGTTCAGGTTGCTGTTCCAGTTGCTGCTGCTGTCCCTGTGGCTGCTGTTGCTGCTGTTGTTGCTGCTGCTGATTCTGTTCCTGCTGCACCTGTTGTTCTGGTTGCTGCTGTCGCACTCCCCGCTGCGGCTGCTGCTGTCGTTGCCACTTCTCATCCTCCTGTTGCTCCCACTGCTGTATCTGCTGCAGTTCTTCCCACTCCTGCTGTTCCTGTTGCTGCTGCTGTAGTGGGTGGGAGATGGGGGCACTCAGAGGCCCCGGGAAGCCCCCGTGTCTCCTCCTCAGCTCCGACTCCCGACCCAGTGATCGCACCAGGCCCCCCAATACATCCCGCAACTCTGTGGAAAAAGAATGAGCACGCACGCAGGCACGAGCGTCAGCGCACGTGCGCCACCTACACACACGTGAACGCACGTGGACACTTCCACACACGTCAACGCATGCGCACGTGAGCCAGTGTGTATGCAGGCGTGGTGTGCACTTGCAAGCCATCGCATGTGAATGAATTGAATGCTCGTATCACTGAAGCCTTGAAGCTGGGTGAGCCTAGGCCCGGGTCCCACTCACCACACGCCCGCTTCTTCTTGGTGCAGGAGACGCGCGACGCACGCTGGCACACGTCGCCAGACGCCGGGGAACCCAGCAGAGGGGCCTGGACACCCCACACAGGACACACACACCGTCAGCATCATCATCAGCACCATCATCAGCACCATCAACACCGTTAGCATCATCAGCACCATCAGCATTCATCATCAGCACCATCACCATCAGCACCATCAGCGTCATCATCGACACCATCATCAGCACCATCATCAGGCCATCATCAGCACCATCAACAACCATTAGCACCATCAGCACCATCAGCATTCATCATCAGCACCATCAACAACCATTAGCATCATCAGCACCGTCAGCATCAGCACCATCATCAGCACCATCAACAACCATTAGCATCATCAACACCATCAGCATTCATCATCGGCACCATCATCACCATCAGCACCATCAGCAGCCATAAAATAACACAAGCCAGAACAAAGCATCGTTCTTCATCATCATGATTAAAACTTTGAGTTGCTGCAGCCTCGTCACCACCACCAAGTGGAAAGAACTCGTGGTTGGCCACCATCAATGGGGATCATCGTTGGTATCTTTCAGGGGTCTCTGGATCGCAGGGATCCCATCGCGGGGTTACCCTCAAGGTAACTGCGAGTGGCTGTCTCTCTGGGCCAGGTCTCTGGCTATGGGGGGTCCCCAGGGGGGCTGTGTGAGTTCTTCTGTCTGGGTTCGGGGTTCTCATCACGGGGGGTCCCCAGGGGGGCTGTGCGAGTGGTGGTCTCCTTTAGAGGTACCTGGGCCAGGTCTCCCGCTACGGGGGGAGGGGGTCCCCAGGGGGGCTGTGTGAGTTATTCTGTCTGGGTTCGGGGGTTCTCATCACGGGGGGTCCCCAGGGGGGCTGTGTGAGTATTTGTCTCCTTTAGAGGTACCTGGGCCAGGTCTCTCGCTACGGGGGGGGGGGGGGGGGGGTCCCCAGGGGGGCTGTGCGAGTTCTTCTGTCCGGGTTCGGGGGTTCTCACCGAGGGGGCCCCTGGGGGCGTCTGCGAGGGGCGGCAGGGCCGGGAGTAGAAGGAGCAGAGCTGCGAGTCTCTGTTCTCGCGCAGTGGCCCGGCCTCGACAGCGCGAAGTTGTCTCAGCTCCGCGCACGTCGGCTCCCGGCTCCCCGCGGGAACTGGGGCAGCAGCAGCAGCAGTAACATCAGGGTCAAAGGTCAATAGTTTTTGTGAATTTTACCCGATTTTCACGCGAAGCTCTCAAATGAGTCGGCGTTCACTGAAATCGATGGAGCGGAGTTCTCCGGACAAACGTTCCAATGTGCACGCGTGCAGGTGGGCCACTTAATCTGTAGACGTCGTGTCATTGTGCTAAGTCGACAAACTGAAGTGGTACAAGGAGTGAGAGACGCGTCGAAAAACAGCAAACCAAATTGAGTGTTCATCGTGGGAGTGGTCAATGGTGAGTGATTGACAGGCGAGCGGTAAGTGGCAGGTGATTGATGAGTGAGTGACAGGCGAGCGGTAAGTGGCAGGTGATTGATGAGTGATTGACAGGCGAGCGGTAAGTGGCAGGTGATTGTAGATTGGAAGTTTTCGTGACTGAAAAGATTCATACCCTTTGGTTTTTTCGGTTAAGTCACGTAGGTAAAAAAAGTTAAATGAAAAAACAACTAAATTAAATCACGACGTTTCGGAGGCAACACAAGCTTCCGTCTTCAGGTGGAACCGTCACAGCAAAATTACTGTATCAAGTGATACAGACGTAAGCTTGTGTTGCCTCCGAAACGTCGTGATTTAATTTAGTTGTTTTTTCATATTTGTTTTACCTACGTGGCTTTACCGAAAAAAACAAAGAGTATGACAGATAATCTTGGTTCTTTCGGTAAAGTCACGTAGAAGGGAAATAATAAAATAATATAAATATAAAACAATAAAAATTCTCACGACGTTTCGACTGCAACACAAGCAATCATCATCAGATGTGAAATCCACAGCAAAAAAAATATTTTTTTCAAATTTTCTTGCGGTGGATTTCACACCTGATGATGATTGCTTGTATTGCAGTCGAAAGGTCGTGAGAATTGGTATTGTTTAATATTTTTATTATTTTATTATTTCCCTTCGACGTGACTTTACCGAAAAAACCAACAATATGAATCCCTGCAGTCACGAAAATTTGAAATCAAAAGTATGAGAGATGATTGATGAGTGAGTGACAGGCGAGCGGCAAGTGACAGATGATTGATGAGTGAGTGACAGGCGAGCGGCGAGCGAGTGACAGGCGAGCGGTAAGTGGCAGGTGATTGCTGAGCGAGTGACAGGCGAGCGGTAAGTGGCAGGTGATTGATGAGTGAATGACAGGCGTGCAGGAGGAGCCTTACGTGCCATCTGCTGCCGGGCCCAGTGCGAGAAGCGAGGCACGCGCGCGTACACTCCGGGCTTCCCCACCTCGGCGCAGCCGTCCCCCCACGACACCACGCCCAGCAGCACCGGGGCGGCGGGGGCGGAGGGGGCCCGCGATGGGTTTGGGGGGGTGCACACCAGGGGCCCCCCAGAATCGCCCTGTCCCCCGACACACACGCGCGTGCGGAGAGTTTGCGTTGCACAAAGCCGGCGAGACGGAGCCTCTGCTGGACGTATGTGAAAAAGAGCTTGATGGCTCATCTGATTCTTCCAGTATAAATACATGTTCTGATTCTGGTACGATTCCGATTCTGCCTCGCGGTAAAAGGGCGCTGTTGTACTGCACGTCTACGCTCCCGCATCTTACTGCCTTCGCCTACCCGCATCGGCCGTCATGGTGAAGTATTACAGGGTGGCCAAAGTAACTCACCCCCCCACGATACGGACGGCATGGGGAGGCCCTCATCCAGCAGTGGATTCACAAAGTGTCGTCTGCGCAGTGGTTAGCGCGCTGCGCTACGAACCCGGCGACTCGAGTTCCATTCCCGCTTGCGACCAAAAACAGTGCCGCACCTCCGATTATCACGGTTGGCTACGTACGATGCGAAAGAAGTTCAACAAACATGCGAATATTTGACCCGGTGCTGGGCCTCCACTAGGTCGACTCAGCCTTAAATAGATACCCTGGTGCTGTGCATAAGCATCAGCAATGGGGGTGACAAAGTCGGCCGTCCACACCACCCCCTGCGTGTGCCATCACCCGGCCTTCGCAGGTGCTCTTTTTTTCAGTTTCATTTTGAGTTTCATTTATTTGGTATAGCCATGTGAGCCATTCGGCTCTTGAATCGGGTGCAACCGCAACAAACAAGAACATGAACAAGAAACCATCTTAAAGTGACTACGCGCAAACAGAAAAATCCAGGAAAAAAACAACAAAGTCTTCCAGAAAAAGCACCGTGTATCAGTGCTGTGTGCAAAAATCCCAGTGGGATGCAAGTCAAACAGCAACAACCAACATCACCTGCCGTCAACAGCCCGTCGAATGCCAACGGGGTTTAGTCGGCGTCTGCGTCGCGTGCGTTGCTGTGGCTGTGGCTGTTGCTGTGGCTGTGGCTGTTGCTGTGGCTGTTGCTGTGGCTGTGGCTGTTGCTGTGGCTCTGGCTTTGGCTGTGGCTGTTGCTGTTGCTGTGGCTGTTGCTGTGGCTGTGGCTGTTACTGTGGCTGTTGCTGTTGCTGTGGCTGTTGCTGTGGTTGTGGCTGTTGCTGTGGCTGTTGCTGTGGCTCTGGCTTTGGCTGTTGCTGTGGCTGTTGCTGTTGCTCTGGCTGTTGCTTTGGCTGTGGCTGTTGCTGTGGCTGTTGCTCTGGCTGTGGCTGTGGCTGTTGCTGTGGCTGTTGCTATGGCTGTTGCTGTGGCTGTGGCTCTGGCTGTGGCTGTGGCTGTTGCTGTGGCTGTGGCTCTGGCTGTGGCTGTGGCTGTGGCTGTTGCTCTGGCTGTGGCTGTGGCTGTTGCTCTGGCTGTGGCTGTGGCTCTGGCTGTGGCTGTGGCTGTGGCTGTTGCTCTGGCTGTGGCTGTGGCTCTGGCTGTGGCTGTGGCTGTTGCTCTGGCTGTTGCTGTGGCTGTTGCTCTGGCTCTGGCTGTGGCTGTGGCTCTGGCTGTGGCTGTGGCTATTGCTCTGGCTGTGGCTGTGGCTGTGGCTGTTGCTCTGGCTGTTGGTGTGGCTGTGGCTGTTGCTGTGGCTGTGGCTGTTGCTCTGGCTGTTGCTGTGGCTGTTGCTCTGGCTCTGGCTGTGGCTGTGGCTCTGGCTGTGGCTGTGGCTATTGCTCTGGCTGTGGCTGTGGTCGCCGTCGTTGCGTGCGCACCTGGCAAGTGTCGGCGGCGCCGTCCATGCGACCCGCGCACAGCATCCCCGCCGTGACGTGGGCCGGGCCCAGCGCAGAGCGGCACAGCGCCTGGGGCTGCAGGGGCAGCCGCGCGGCGAGCAGCACCCGGGAGCCGGGGCCGTCTGCGGGCAGCAGAGGGGGGCAGCAGCAGCGGCAGCGGGAGAGCACGTGGCACTTACAGATTGTACAGCGGTGATTGTGCTGCACGGACTAGGAGGCGATTGATTCTAGATTTGAAGCTTTCGTGACCGCAAGGATTCATATTCTTAGGGGTTTTTTCGGTAAAGTCACGTAGGTAAAAAATAAAAAATAAAATTAATAAAAGTAAAATAAAAATTTATTTCCCTCATTTAGGTGCAAATCAATTTATAACATTTTTGACATGCGTTTTTCTGGATTTTTTTTGTTGTCATTCTGTCTCTCACTGTTCAAATAAACCTACCATTAAAATTATAGACTGATAATTTCTTTGTCAGTGGGCAAACGTACACAATCAGCAGGGGATCAAATACTTTTTTCCCTCACTGTAGCTAAATAAATAATGATGTTTGTTGACTTCGTAATTTTTGTTGCAATATGTAAATACGGACTTAGACCCTTCCCTCCTATCAGCCTCAGGCCCCTCATAACTGCTTGTGCCCGCGCACGGGACGTAGCATTTCACAGCCCCTAACCCGCGCACCTTCCTGCAGGGTGCCCCATCCTGCGACGGTGCAGGGGGTGCCGGGCGGGAGCTGGAGGCTGCTGGGGGGCAGGGCGAGCGTGGAGACGTGGGCGCTGAGCGGTGCCGGCTGAGCCAGCTCCATGAGCGCCACATCGCAGTCGAAGGAGCGAGGGTCGTACTGGAGGACAAGGGCGCGCACGGACACCGGGTTTGCCGAAATCACTTTGTGATCCGAGACGGCGCTGGTAATTCGAATGAGATTAAATATAAATTTTAATTCGTAGCCATCGAACAAAGACGGCCACTGCATCGCGCGCTTTCAGGTGCGCTTCTGCGGCCGTCTGGAACGCTCTTCCTTACGATATTAGGAAGCCACTGGAGTTATGCACTATTAAATCATTGAGATTGAAAACTAATTTCTTTGCAACTGTTTTTTGTGTTTAGTTTGTTGCCCTTCCCCAGCACCTCAGATTAGCACGGTTGGCTACGTACGGAGCGAAAGAAGTTCAACATACATACAAACGAAATTGCGATCAGGATATTAAGCATTTATGGAATAAATACAATTCATGGAGCAGTGAATGGCTTTTAAGATGCAGTAGTGTTATATGTGTGACAGACTCCACCAGTCTGTTATAATCATAAAGCTACGAGCTACACACAATGGAGTCCATCCAAGCGTCGTGGTGTCACCACCGCCGCGTTTCAGTTTCATGTATTAGGTATAGCCCTGTGAGCCATGCGGCTCTTGAATCGGGTGCAACCGCAACAAACAAAAAACAAAAACATGAAACAAAAACATGAACAAAAAAACATCTCAAAGTCACTATGTGACTATGTGCAAACAGAAAATCCGGGAAAAGACAGCAAAATATTCCACAAAAATCACCGTACACCAACGCTGTGTGCAAAAATCCCAGTGAGATGCAAGTCAAACAACAACAACAACCACAATACAACTTAGATTAAGTCCATCAGTCTAACTCCGTACTACAACAAACAAACATGGCCAAAACAAAAAACTTTTCGAAATCACCAAAATAAAGCCATAAAAGCAATGTAACAGTGATCATAGGAATGACGGCGGCTGTCGTTGTTGTTGTGTGTGAGGCTTACGTGCGGGTGGATGATGATGCGGTTGATAGCGATGGTCGACTCGAAGGGATCGACCTCCACCAGGTCATGTTCTCCCAGCACGGCCGCCCAGTCGTCCTCACGTTTGCTCCTGGGACAATCGACGCGGGAGGTTACGGAGGTCAACGCTTGTCGAGCCAGAGGTCACGGGCCCCACGATCCCTAGCAGCCAGCACATTCCGGGAAGCTCAACCAAGACACGTGCACAGCTTTCAGAACTCTCTATCCACCCAACCCCATTCGTGGCCACTCACGTCACAGCCGAGGTATGCTAGAGTGAGACCCCAGGTGAGACGCCACGTGAGTGCCCAGATGAGGGCGAGCCAGTGGCGTAGCTAGGATATTTTGCGCCCGGGGACGAACTATAAAATTGGCGCCCCCCCCCCCCCCCCCCGTTTAATCACATACCAAAATGTAATTACATGACATGTAGGCTGTGTGTGGCGGGATATATAAACTTTTAGGTTGAGGTGTAGATTTGTGCAGTAGTTTCAGGCTGCCGCGCCCGCCGCAATAAGTTATAATGTGACGTTGTAAGCCTCATTTTGGCGCCCCTTTACCTTGGCGCCCAGGGACATATGTACCCCCCTGCCCCCCCCCCCCCCTAGCTACGCCTCTGGGGCGAGCCCGGGTGGAGATAGAACGAGCCGAGCCCATCCCACAGGTGAGACAACCCAGACAAGTGACTTATCCCCGGCGAGCGATCCCAGCTAAAGCGTGGAGCGGTGCCTGGACTGGCGCCCACCTGTGGAAGCAGTGCGCTGCCGTGAGCGCCCACCTGCGTGCCACCAGCACGGCGCCGCACGCGTGCGCCCCGCGGAGACGTGCCGACACGAGCCACGGGAACGCGCCACGGGGGGGCTCCGTGCCCCCCACGATCCGGGGCACCCCGACACCGCGCTGCCTCGTGCCCCTCCCCACTGTGCCCAGCGCCGGCCCGGCCGGTGTTGCCCGCCGCGCGCCTCGAGACGGGGTCGGCGTGGCGACGTCGCCACCACCGGCGTCGGTTGCTTCGTCGCTTGCGACGGCCAGATCTGAAAGGTCAAGAGGTCAACAGTTTCTACTGGCCTTTTAAAACGAGCGGAAATCCCACGTTCCTGCGGCGGGAGGCAACACTTTGGATACTTTAGAATGGCTGTTGGCTTCTAACAAACGCGGTGCTTATTTGTTATCGGTGACCCTGACACCTGCTGTATATTTGGAGTTTGCACTTTTCTCCCTTTCTTCTCGTGGTCACGTGGATTTTTTTCCGGGGCCTCCAGTTTTTCTCTTCACATTTACAATCAACATCACGCGTTTAGAGTATTCGGCTGCGATAAATGTCCACGTGATAAGCCACTTCGTCGAGCAATCATGATGTGTGAGAGCCAGGTCGCTTCTGAAATATAGCTATTGAGAGCTCAGTGGGTCTTATTTGGTAACACAAAAAAAAATTCGGGGGCTTGGATTGACTCCCGACCCGGGAATAGAACTCAATTGTCTACGTACGGCGCGAAAGAAGTTCAACAAACATGTTGTACACACAACTGTGAGTCGACCGAGTCGCGTACCGCACGCGCGCCTCCTCGCGTCGCAGCGCTCCCGCACGAGGTCGCGGCACGTGGACTCCGAGAGCCGGGCCGCCTCGCACAGGCGCACGAAGCGCGCACAGCCACGCGAGGACGACTCCGTGGGGGCCAGGGGTCCCTGCACGGAGCCCGAGGTCTCTGGGCCAGAAGTCTCGGGGGGTTCGTCCCCCGAGCTCATCGTCTTCGAGGTCAGAGACGCCGTCTCTGACTCCGTGCTCTGTCCTCTGGGACCCAGGGTCGCCTCCTCCTCCTCTTCCTCCTTCTCCGCTGCCGCTGCCATCTCTGAGCAGCTTGGCTCTGCCCCTGTGAGACCAGCTGCTGTTGGGAGGGGGGGGAGGGGAGAGACAAACACGGGTGGGCACATAGGTCACGGAGAGGACTGGTGGTTGTGGGTGGTAATGGTGATTATGATGATGTTGGTGGTTGTAAAATGTGGAAATGTGTGATTTATTTCTTTTGGTGGCGATGGTGATAATGACGTTGATGGAGGACAGCGTGATGATCATGAAAGCAGAGTTGTGTTAATGGTAGTGGTTGTAATCATGATGGTGCTGATGATATTCATTATGAGGATGTTCGGGACAATCATTAATTACCATGGGACCTTTTTTGCCAGTATCAAAATTTGAAAGAAATAATCAGTTTTTTGGCAGAAGGAATAACGCCTATTCTTATTTTAATAATAATAATAATCAATGAATGAATGACCATTGTCATTCTCCTGTTGTCAAGAGCGGGGAATAGCTTTAATGATGACTCTGTTCCCGATTATGCCGATGCTACTACTGATGACGATGGCGGTGCCGATGATGATGATGATTCTCCTGCTGCTGCTGCTGAAAACGGCACCTGCGCCGTAGCAGATGAGCAGCTCTCGATTGCGCCTCGCGGTGGAGACGCTGAGCGCGGAGAGCGCGAACTCGCGCGAGGCGCGGAGCAGTGCAGAGCCGCGCTCCGAGAGCACTGCGAACACAACACCGAGCACCCATCGTCAACATCACCGGCACCACTAATATGCCAACATCGTTAACATCACCGGCACCACTAATATACCAACATCGCTAACATCACCGGCACCACTAATATACCAACATCGTCAACATCACCGGCACCACTAATATACCAACATCGCTAACATCACCGGCACCACTAATATACCAACATCGTCAACATCACCGCACCACTAATATACCAACATTGTTAACATCACCGGCACCACTAATATACCAACATCGTCAACATCACCGGCAGAAGAACACCATCACTCGATCACCATATAATTTCACCACTATCATAGGCAGAACATCAACATCATCCGTCATCATTTTCCTGAACATCATCGTGAGAACATCGTTACCACGACCATCGTCATTACAGTCACAATCAGCAGCAGCGTCTACGAGTGGATTGACCAACGGGTTGAACGCGTGCGTGCACACGTTCACATCAGACATGTTCAATCCACTGCTGGATGAAGCCTCCCCCGCCCCGATGCCATCGCCACCTCTTAACGATGTTCATGCGACGACAGATTCCATCGCTCCATCTCCTGAGCGACTGACATATTATTCTTTGGTTCTTTCGGTAAAGTCACGTATAAAGATAAAATAATAAATTAAATAATTGCATACGACGTTTCGATTGCAACACAAGCAATCATCATCAGGCATAAATGAAATAGCAACAAAAAATCTAACCAGAAAACTATAGACAGACATATAAGCAGACATATATCACCAAGATACATAGAAAGAGTAACACAGGTACAGAGAGGGAGATCGTCTCTGTGGGGTGGCCTTAAATAGACAGAGGGGGGCGGGGGCAGAGAGAGGGAGGGGTTAGAGAAAAAAATTACATGTCAATGAGTACGAAGAGACGCGTAGTAAAGTACACGTGACTTTACCGAAAGAACCAAAGAATAATTCCTGCAAGTCACGAAAGCTCCAAAATTAAGATCGACTGACATATTCCTTAAGTAACGTTACTGATCAGCCCTTGCTGGACATGCGTGAAAAAAAGAGCTTCATTGCTCATCGGATTCCTCCCAGTGTAAGTACATGACAGTACCCACAATCACATTCAGATAATTAAGTAGACGTCCTCTTATTCTTGGTTCTTTCGGTAAAGTCACGTAGAAGAGAAATAATAAAATAATATTAATATAAAACAATACAAATTATCACGACGTTTCGACTGCAACACAAGCAATCATCATCAGGTGTTGCAGTCGAAACGTCGTGAGAACTTTAATTGTTTTATATTAATATTATTTTATTATTTTCCTTCTACGTGACTTTACCGAAAGAACCAAGAATATGAATCCCTGCAGTCACGAAAGCTAAGCTTTAAATCAAGATTTAAACGTCCTCTGTCAATGGGATGCCGCTGTAAACTGTGGGGAGCATTCGAAAGCACGTGGAGGGGGGTTGGGGGGTGATGGGGGAAAACCGCTGCGGCCGTACGAGACGACCCCCAGCGGACAGGCAGACCGAGACCCCCACCGACCCCCCCCCCCCGCTGCCCGGCGTCTCTCACCGTCCAGGGCGCTGGGTGGGAGCGCCAGGAGGGGGGCGGCGGAGCGAGGCGGAGCCGCGGTTGGGAGCGCGAAGGAGAGTGCAGAAGAGAGGCTGCACACGAGCAGCGGCAGCAGCAGCAGCAGCAACATCCTCGCCCTGCACAGCCTTTAACGGACTGGTGGGTGCTGAGTGCTGTGAGCGAGCGCCGATGATGACCGGCACGGCCAGAACAACGCCCGGCCGCTTTTGTCTCCCCAGTGGCGATGTTTTTACACACCTCACCAAGTGCTTATTTGAGGCTAAGTCCACCTAGGGGAGGGCCCAGGACCGATTTAGACAATCGCCACTGGGTGTTGGTGGCCGTGGGCGGGAGTCGAACTCGGCTCGCTGGGTTCGTAGCGCAGCGTAGCGATAATCGCTACACAATCGTCACTTGGACAACCTCTCACTCACACACATTCCCCCCCCCCTCTCTCCAAGATAAATACTCAAGCGTGGTCCTCCTGATGATAATCTGTCCCCCATCTCCCGTCATGGCAATGTGGAATTTCCCACCGCTGGCTCAGAAGAGGTATCACTGAGGTTGTTCGTTTGATTTGGCCAATTTATAATTCCACACGCGAGGGGGGGGGGGCTGTAGAAATAACGTTTTGAGACTCATATTCCTGATTCTTTCGGTAAAATCACGTAGAAGGGAACTAATAAAATAATAAAAATATTTAATTCTCACGACGTTTCGACAGCAACACAAGCAATCGTCATCAGGTGTGAAATCCACAGCAAATTTTCTTGCTGATTTTCTTGCTGTGGATTTCACACCTGATGATGATTGCTTGTGTTGCAGTCGAAACGTCGTGAGAATTAAATATTTTATTATTTTATTATTTCCCTTATACGTGACTTTACCAAAAAAAACAATAATATGAATCCCTGCAGTCATGAAAGCTTTAAATCAAAGTTTCGAGACTCGTCGAGATTTGCCTGGAGTTACATCAAGTAACGCGCCACGCGTACGCAGCAGACATCCGAGTCGGTTACGGTGTTGGCAAGAAGATTTCACTTGCCACTGACGTTAGCAGCGGCCACGGAATCGAACTGAGGAGTTCAGGTTCATAGCGCAGTGCGTACGTAAATCAATGCGCCACGGCTCCCCAATCAACGAATGAAATAACAGCACAGCATTTTTTTTAAACGATGATGGGGGCGTTTGTTGTGCCAGTCACTGATGACCCGGATAACACCACCACCGTCATCATCATCATAATTTTCAACTCGTCACACGCCAGAGCCCGTTTTAAGCACTGAAACCCCGGGTTTGACCCCAGGATTGTAATCGGTGCCCCCACTCGGTGCCTCTGACCCGGTGCTATCTTCCCGGAGACGATTTTGACCTTTCACCCAACGTCCCCTTTGAACTCATCTTCTTGGTTCTTTCGGTAAAGTCACGTAGAAGGGACACGTCGTGAGAATTATTTTATTATGTTTTATGTTTATTATTTTATTATTTCCCTTCTACGTGACTTTACCGAAAGAACCAAGAACACGAATCCCTGCAGTCACAAAAGCTTTAAATCGAAATAAAATCCCCCTTGAAGTTCCATCACCCCAGACTGCGCTACCCTGATTCCCAACACCGCCCCTCTCCCCTCCCTATCTCCCCCTGTCTCTCTCCTTCTCTTTGTTTAATGGGCCTTTGAAGTTGCGTTTCACTCTAATTGGTCTTGGCTCTCTCTCTCTCGAAAACGGACACGCACTTACGGGTAATTGCGTTGCGACGAAATTAAGGGTTGAACCATGCAGCAGTATAGGCGCCTCTGACTCCGAGCAAGGATGAGGGTTGGGGATGATGCGCGGGTGATATTTAATGGTATTTTAAGGGGTCAGCGTTCATTCTTGTCTCGGGGGTTAAGATGTTGGTTCAGGGTTAATGATAGAGCAGGTGTTAGGTTTAGGTATTGGGTTAGTGATAGTGTGGAGTTATGGTTATCAATGATAAGGAGAGGGTTTGGATGGGGGTAAGGTTAAGGATAGTGGTGTACGTTTGGGGATAAAGGCATGGTTAGGGATAGTGATAGAGCAATGCGTATAGGGTAATGTGTCATGAGCAGAGTCAGGATTGAGCATAGGGTTTGGGTTAAAGTTACAGTTACTATCCGCACAAAGTGCTCATTAGCCTCCATGCTCATTTCAACACGTTCATATCCCGAGACAACATTGGTCTTCGTATGGAAAAACTTTCCCCGCGATAGATATGTGGAAGTTGCCACCTACTGGCTCAGGCCAGCAAGAGGCTTAAGTCTAAGACTCGCTCCATTGCAAGAATTAGTTGTATTAATCATTTTCATAATCATGGTCCATCCACTGCTAGTTGAAGGCCTTTCTAAATTAAGTCCAGCAAAGTAACAACAACAACAATAATCCACCAAGAACTTGCACATGAGCAGCTTGCAGTGCATACCTGTCAACCCCTTATCAGCGCCCTACCTTATTACAGACCAATTCAAACCCTATTAGTCACCCCGTGCCCCTTATACATCTCAACCTTCATCCTACAAAGTCCCATCGCAAGTAGAGAAACACAAACAAATACACAAACACAATGTTACCCTATTGAAACGGTTGTACGCCGTATAGACCTAAAAACTCAATTTCCCCGTACAAGAATACTGGTTAACCGTATGGATTGACAGCTGTGGCATCGCTCCATCTCCTCGGTGGCCGGCACACAGTCCTAGCCTCAAGCGCCGAACACGATCTACAAAACTCCAGCAGCCCACGTACCTCCGATTAGCAGGGTTGGCAGCGTACGGATCAGAATAAGTTCAACTTAAATTTCGATTTAAAGCTTTCGTGACTGCAGGTATTCATCTTCTTGGTTCTTTCGGTAAAGTCACGTAGAAGGGAAATAATAAAATAATATTATTTTGGTATTTATTTCATTTTATTATTTCCCTTCTACGTGACTTTACCGAAAGAACCAAGAAGTTCAACTTACGTACGGCAATAACGGCCACCACTTTCCTCAACCGAGCATCACCCTTCCAGAAACGCCCAGAACTTTCAGTTGGCAGCGGTGCGCGAGCACAGACGGCCACAAAACCCAACGCATTCGTCAATACCACCGTGGCCTTTTAAATAATATAAATGTACATGACCGTCCGCTTCGTTATCTCTCAGCTATGACCAAGGTGAGTTGCTTGACACGTCACCTATTAAGGTGTGTTTCCCCCTTTTTGAAGGCCACGGTGTAAATTGACGCATGCGCTGAGTTCTAAGTTCAATGTAAAATCGTCTGGTCGGCATCGGGCTAGAGGCGGGCACGATTTGTTTACCAAACTGAAAACAAACAAGAGTTGACGTCATGTCCTAATTGGCGACTTATCGAATTCCGGAAACTCTGCGGAACTAAAGCGCCCCGTGAAATCCTGACCGCCTGCCAGAGACGAACGTGACTGCAGATGTCACAAATAACAACAACAACAGCATCAGCAGCGGTAGCTCAAGGCGGAACACATTCATTAGTGAATTAATTATGATAGCAAAGATAAATATTCCCCGTACAGCTTTTAACAGACTGTTGGGGCGCATGCTGCTAGGGAAGGCCGCCCCTGTCTCCATTGGGATGAGAGCTAGAGAGAGAGGCTGGGTACAAAAGCAGTGTTACTACATTCATTTTATAGTCTACCAAACACGCAAATAGTTGTAAAGATTTACAATAATTCGACGATAAAATCGAATTTCGCTCACCGTGCTCATTCGAAAATTAGAATTCTAACTCTAGTCCGAGTCGATCACTGGTGGTAGATCGACGTCAGTTTAACTCTGCACTACAGTGAGGATGGACACGTGGATCGCATGAAATACACACGTTAGATACACCACATCGATTTGTTGTGAAGGGTGGGCTCAGGAAGTAGAGATCGCTCGCTGAAGGGATGACGGCTCAAGTGGTCGACACTTAACAGCTGAGTGGCATCCACAGAACCGAAACGCGGCCGAGATCACGTCCCCCGCTGGGAGATGGAACGATGAAATGGGACTGCGTTGCACGAACTCGATATGATGATGATGCTGATGATGGATAATTGCATCGCATGCTCGGTTTGGCGGGGGATGCTTTTGTCCAGCCACAGTTAATAATGCTGATGATAAGATGGTCACTGCATCGCGCACTTTGAAATGCGCTTCTGCGGCCGTCTGGAACGCTCTTCCTTGCGACATTCGAAAGCCACTGGAGCTATGCACTATTAAATCACCAAGATTGAAAACTCATTGCTTTAGAACTGCTGTTTGTGTCCGGCTCGTTGTCCTCCCCCCGCACCTCCGATTAGCACGGTTGGCTACGAACGGCGCAAAAAAAGTTCGACATATGTACATAGCCGAGACGAGCAGCCGGTTTTCAAAGATGAACAGCACGTGGAGAGGAGTAGATGGAAAGAGATGAGTGAGTGAGTGATGGTGATGTCTTTACCTCTTAGCGCTGGAGGCGATTCGCGAATGAAGCACCGCTCAGATCGACGGGTGCTTTACATGCTCGTCTAGAGGCGGGGGGTTGAAGATCGGTAAGTGCTGGTCTGGCCAAATTGGGGGGGTGGGGAGAAGCTATTGGGAGGGGAGGAGAAAAGATGAGCGGTGGGGGCGACCCACATCATCATTATCATCATCGCCACCACCACCGTCACCACCTCCTCCCCATCTCAGCAGCTCTTTTGATTTTCCAGCCAAAGAGTTTTACGCGACAACAAAGCGACTGCTCGTGCATGCACTGCCAGTGTGGCAGCGTGCGTGCGTGCGTCTGTGCGTGTGTCGGTGTGTGTTTGTGCGTGTGTCGGTGTGTTTGTGCGTCTGTGTGTGTGTGGGGAGCGGTAGTGTAGCGGTTAGCGCGCTGCGCTACGAACCTGGCGACCCGGGTTCGATATCCGCTCACGGCCAACACCGGTGGCGATTATTTGAACCGGTCCTGGACCTCCCCTAGGTTGACTCAGCCTAAAATGAGTAGCGGTGTGTAAACATCGCTACTAGGGAGACAAAGGCGGCCGGGCGTGGTGTTGGCCACCCACTCCCTCGTGTGCCGTACCGGCCTTCATAGGTGCTCGCTAACAGCACTTGCCCCAACAGTCTGTTAAGGCTACACGGGGGATCTTTGTCT